AAGAATTGATTTTGAATAGTGATATGATGGGAAATGTGTGGTTGAAAAAGAAGAAAAAATTATTGATGTGATGGAAAATATTATTTTATTGAAGAATGTGTGGTTGAAAATAAGAATTGATTTACTATAGAAAAATCTAAATCCTTCCCAAACAGGGCCCTAGTTCAAAAACTTGGAAAATTTAGGGGGCGTTCTCTTTGTGTTTCAGTTTTGCGTTTTGAGTTTTAAATTCATTTTGTGTTTTGAGTGTCCATTTTGAGATGATTGAAAACGCGTTCTTTTTTATCGTTTTGTAAAAATATTTCCCAAAATATTTTCAAAAAACGCGTTCACATTTTTGTCATTGTTTTCGTTCTCCAAACCACTGGAAATTCTCCCCCGCCAGATTCACCGTCTTCTTCCTCACAAACCGACCACCACCCTCCACCTAGACCACCAGATCCCAANTTCCTCACAAACCGACCACCACCCTCCACCTAGACCACCAGATCCCAACATCCCTCCAACCCCCTGACCTCCATCTACAATTTCCCCAGATTATTTCACTAGAAATCAACCGGAATCAGCCAAAACAACTGCACGGTAACTCACTTTTCGGCCTGTAAACACTGCCGACGGCCACCTTTCCGATCGCGAACCACCATCAATCCACTCCTCTCAACAAGGCGCATCACATACTACAATGGGTCACCTCGATTGTTTCCAGAATGGGCTGCTCTTATGGAAGTCGCATTCGATTATCTCTGGAATGGGGTGATTTTATGGAAGCCGTCGGTGAGTTTTGAAGCCATGGCTGGAGTCGTCTGGGGTGGGCAATGAACCGGTGATGGTGCGTGACCTTGGATGTTGCCGGAGGTTGAGATTCCGACAGAAGCAGTTCGCCCGAATCAATTTTTGAGGATAATTTTGATTGATTTTTTTTATATGATTGGATTGTTGTTTGTGAGGTAATTGAAGAGGGGGTTGAAGGCTTCACAATGGTATAAAGTCCTGCCATTTTGGAGGAGGTTGGCCGGAGTTAGAGGATGGGAAAGTGACGGTGGAGTGTGGAATGCAGAAGAATGGTGGAGTCGTTTTGGGCCTCTTTCCCGTGTTTTCCAATTCTTCCTATTTCCCCTGAAAACGCCCAAAACGGCTGAAAGCCGTTTTGCATTTCTTTCACAAAATTTTTCCTTGTTTTCCAAAATTCGTTTTCGAAAATGACAAAGAGAACGCGTTTTCACCGTTTTGAAAAATCGAAAACAGAAAACGGGGTTGAAAACAGTAAAGAGAAC